GTCTTACACTGCTAAATTAGGGACGGCTAGCGCAGATAGCCCTCGTGTAGCTTTGCGCAAAATTCAAAAACAAACAGTAATTTCTAAGGAAACAAACATGTCCATTGTTAACGGTTTGCACTCTTTCCAATGGTGCAATGGTAAACCTGCTTTATTTAGTGACGATCACTAATCGATTAGTTCACGCGTGGTCCCGAAAATCCTTATTATATGTTCCTCAAGGGTATATTATTATTGTCGTTCTATTTTATTCATAGTCTCTGATAAAATATTTATAACTCGTAGTTATCATTTTTTGTGATACCTAATTTTGCTGGAAGACTTACCCAAGGTGTCCCCCAGTGGCACAGCGGTATGTCTGCGGATTTACAACGCTAGAAACCGGGTTTCGAAACGTATGACGGGCAGAGCACAGATATCCCTTGTGTAGCTTTGTGCATAATTAAAAACAGACAATTACCCAAGGTTTAAAAGTTACTAAAAAAATATTTGCTGTAGTTCGTGAAAAAAATAAATAGAGCCTGTATATATCCTGTGATGTTATATATATATATATATTATTATATATCCATAGAATGAACTTTTAGTATCAGATGTCCATGCCTGTTGTGGTTGTATAGTTGTGGTCAGCAGCGCTGTCAATTTTCGCGTTGAGCAGGAACTTTCTACTGACCATTTCCCCTGTGAAGATTAATACAGACGCTTTGGCGATTTGGAGCGCCAGTGACATTTTGGAAGGAATGAATTCACCGTTCCAGTAATCAGGATGGCTTGGTGCTTTAATTACACTCCTTCGTCCTGACAATACCTTCATCGCGATATTTTACTTTGTCCTAGATCGTTTTGTGTCTGCTAAAAGAAGGTCAGTTTGCAGGCAAACCTTATCAGTCAATGTTTTTTGTTGCTGTCTTTTTTCAGTGTTTCACAGTTTCATTTGTTCAGGGATTATTGTATTATAAAAATAAAATGATATAATAAATAAGAAAGTATTGTTGAAAACAACACGAATTAAAGTATGTCTTGAGCAATTCAAGAATCTCCAATTATCCAACAAATTTTTGACAATTTGTTTGATTTAGTGCAAAGCGCATGTTTTAAACGTTGAATTTTAATGTTATAAGCTATCAAATTTATTAGTCGTAATTTGCTGCAAATTACTCAAAATCCGTACGTCGTTTTTTCTCCATCAGATATTATTCTGAGGTCATGATGTTGTTAAGTATAATAGTTATAAGTAAAGAGAGATGTCAATACAATCAAGTGAAGCGTTTTGTACCTCATCATTCTTATATTGTGTGTGTGTGTTTTTTTAGTGCGTTTTACAGTAGTAGATAAAAAAGCAAACCCATTTCTTCAAACAAGAGGGAATACTCAGTAGCCGCGGCTTCAATTAGATTTCAAATCGGTCAATTGGAAGGCGTCTCCAGTTTCTTATTTACCCTGAGAGTTTGTACCAATGAAATATTCAAACACACACACACACACAAACAATAGATAGCAGAGCTCAATTTATAGAATGGCGAATTATGCACTCATTGGTAATCACGTGACTTCACCATTTTTGATGCATATGATCAAGGTTTTATATAGATATAATAGCACTAATAACTGCATCATTAAACTTTTGTTAGCCGCGGCATAACGGCTCATAGAATGGCTTTGAGTTATTTTTACCAAGTACCAACTTTTAGCTCACAGCTCCATCTATTTTTTTTTAAACTTGATCTTATTTATATAATTAATCCCGAAAGTGTAGTGAAAACTAATTATTGTTATTGCTTAACTAATTTTTCATCTAAAAATGCACATTTTAGTTTATACCTCGCTTCCATTTTTGTAGGTAGAAAGATGTTATATTTCATATAAAAAATATGATTTAATTATGGTTATGTATAACCTTCGAAGTTAATCATTAATGATGATAATTGACTTGTGTAATAAAAAGCGAAACTGCGTTTTAATATTGCCGCTAAGGACTTGAGAGTTTATTTTATTTATATTCGCAAAACTTTGTTTTTAAAAACCAATCTAATCTTCAGCTGTTCACTAATTAGAAAGAATCTCTCTTTGAGAAAAATGCTAAAAAATTATAAACAATATGAAAATCATAGATTTGATAAAAAAAAATATTATGTAATTTATCTAACTAATATTTTTGTGATTTTTAAGTCAGTTTAATTAACTCTTTTTTCGAAGAATGAAAAAGTATAAGAGAAATATAGGAGAAGGAAACGAGGAAACTTTTGTTATAGGAGAAGATATCACCGATAAGCTATTATAATTATTGATATATCTTCTGGATGATCCTGGAAATATATTTTGTGACTGAAAAATTAAAATTCCATTTTTCGTTCATGTAAAGATGTAATTTGTTTACATGTTCTTAATCAAGTGGCCCGGCATGGCCAGGTGGTTAGGGCGCTCGACTCGTAATCTGAGGGTCGCGGGTTCGAATCCCCGCTCCACCAAATATGCTCGCTCTTTCAGCCGTGAGAGCGTTATAATATGACGGTCAATCTCACTATTCGTTGGTAAAATAGTAGCCGAAGAGTTGGTGGTGGATGGTGATGACTAGTTGCCTTCCCTCTAGTCTTACACTACTAAATTAGGGACGGCTAGCGCTTTGTTTTGAATTTCGCGCAAAGCTACACGAGGGCTATCACAAACCATATGTGTAATAATTGTGTTTATGGTATCGAAATAACAATCTATATCTATGGTCTCCCAGTGGCACAGCGGTATGTCTGCGGACTTATACCGCTAGAAACCGAATTTCAATATCCGTGGTGGACAGAGCACAGATTACCCTTTGTGTAGCTTTGTGCTTAATAACAAACAACAATCGTATCTACGTCTCTATGATTACTTGATTTGTGAAATCCTTTCAATCCTCACATTGTATAATCGAAAAAAAAAATTTAGAGGTTTCGAGGGCTCCCAGGATTAGATACAAAAATCTATAAGAAAATAGGCATAGATATCCAAAGGGCCGTTCAAAACGAGTTTTATGTTTATAATTTCTAAGTGTTATGTTGTGTCCCCAAATGAAAGATGAGGAGGAGGATTTTATGTGCTCTCAGGATTGGCTTACACGAAATTGGCATGGAAATTAAAGAATCTTTTAAAATAAATAATTAAGTTTAGATTTTTCGAACTTTTTCAATGATCAGTTCTCCTAATGAGAGATAAGGAAAGGCTCTCAAGATTGGTTGCTGGGATTTATTTAAAAACTTACAAACACCCTCTAAAGTAACCTGCAGAACAAGGTGTGCGATTTTATTTTTATGTTTTTGCTTAGTTCTTTTTTCGGGAATTTTTATGATTAGTTTCTAGTTTTTCATAGTAAAACCAAGCAATTAATATTTGTTCATAAACCAAGAAATTGAAAAATGATGGTTTGTTCAGAACTCAGCTGCTAGTTGTCATGAAAGATCCATTTTAGCAACAAATGCATAAACAAATACTGCTCTCTAGTTGCATAGGCTTATATGTACCATTAAACATGTCAGTTTTGTCTGGCTTAATCAATTAAAGAAAGCTAGTTTACTGTTGACAGTTTCTTTATTTTAAATAGTCTGTTCATTATATTTCGCACAAAGCTACTCGAGAGCTATTTGCGCTAGCCGCTCCTAATTTAGAAGTGATAGACTAGAGAGGAGGCAACTAGTTAACATCATTCACAGTAAACTCTTGGGCTACTCTGTTACTAACAAATAGTAGGATTGATCGCCACATAATAACGCCTCTCCGGCTGAGAAAGGAATACGTTCGGTGACAGGATTCGAGACCGCGACCTCCAGATTGCGAATCGAGTATCCTAACCACCAAGCTAGCCCTAGCCTTTGAATGTATCAAGTGCTATTTTTTGGTACTCTTGTAATATGCAAATATTGTATATACTTTTCTCACACAATATATATGTCTTATCTAGAATTTGTTTAGTTGTTTTATAATTATTATTATGGGGCATATTACATCTGGATGATATCGTGGTCAAATATTAGCCTGAAGTGTTACTTTTTGGTTTCCTGTTTCGCCTTGTGTATGGGGTATACTTTCGATACCACCACACGGAGCAGAGAAAATGTTGAATTATTTCAATTCTGTTTGCATTGTAAGTTTTTGAGGTAATATGGATTATGAGAGTAATTTTAAGCTTTCAGGAAAAGTACATTTTTCCTTAAAAGGGCCAAGATTTACTGCAAAATACTGTAATTTCGTGTAGGTTGTTTTTGCATAACGACCGTGCTTTGCCACGCTTTAATTTCAACTTAATTTCACCTTTTCAACCCGAAGACATATAAGGTAATTATAAAATGTAAAATAAACAGTACATAATTGTGTTCGTCAAAAATTTGTTTATTTCGTGTCTTCTACACTTGTTCTTGAATTATCATTCCAACCAGCCAAATCTTCGAACCTCTTGTTATCCAGGAATAGTTTACCAATGTGTCTTTGTTTTTCTATACCAGGAATACCACACTAGTTTCAAACTGTGCTGTTATGTATTCGAATGATAATAACATACTTCTTTTAATCATGAAACACATTTAAAATAATCTTATAATCTAAATGTTTTCGGAATACAGACGTTAGATGACGAGAGAAAGAAAATGATGAAACGAATTAACTGCATTCAGAATTCAAACGTTATATATGTTGGAAGAATTTCAAAATTCGATAATACTTTGTAAACTTCATATATTATTTGGAAAAACATGACTGCTTACAGTTTTAATAAACATAACACTCTGATTTTGACTTAAGTAATACAGTAAACTTCATGTATATGACATATAATCTTTCATAAAATTTGTGTATATTTGTGAAGTAGTAAATCTGATGAATATTCATGTAATACATCACAATAGCCTCAAATACTCCAGATTAATGTAATACATCAGAATAGCCTCAGATACTCCAGATTAATGTAATAAATCAGAATAGCCTCAAATACTCCAGATTAATGTAATACATCAGAATAGCCTCAAATACTCCAGATTAATGTAATACATCAGAATAGCCTCAGATACTCCAGATTAATGTAATAAATCAGAATAGCCTCAAATACTCCATATTAATGTAATACACCAGAATAGCCTCAAATACTCCAGATTAATGTAATAAATCAGAATAGCCTCAAATACTCCAGATTAATGTAATAAATCAGAATAGCCTCAAATATTCCAGATTAATGTAATAAATCAGAATAGCCTCAAATACTCAAAAGCAACATTAAATTTGTAAAGTCCTGGTGAAAGAAACTGTGGTTAGTTTTTTGAAACGATGGACCATCAGAAATAAATTACCCACTGCAAGGGTAATTCGGAGGCTCATCCCCTCATAATAAGGGGGACCAAGGGCTAAACCTCCAAAACTCTCCATAATTATAGAGAAAATTATTTGCTTCCTAATCTTTGAGCGTCGTTACCGTAACTTGTTATCCTATTTATTTTGTTATCAACTCAGTTTGGTTTAAATTATTTCCTAGGGGAGAAGAAAAAACTTACGCACGTGCGTAGTTTGCGTGGAGGTCGCGGTGTCCTTGAAGCTGTTTGTTTGTTTGTAATTAAGCACAAAGCTCCACAATGGACTATCTGTAATCTGCCTACCACGGGTATCGAAACCCGGATTCTAGCGTTGTAAGTCCGCAGACATACCGCTGTGCCACTGGGGGGCCCTTGAAGCTGACAATGTATTTTTGGTAAGGTTCACGGAAAAGAGAAAAAAAGATTTTTGTTCAAAAAAATTTTAAACGGATATCATTTTATTGATAAAACGACATCTACATATAAATACCAATTAATAATTAGTTATAGGAGAAAAATCTTTGGCTGAATATATATATATTTCACTTTAAATTATATCCCAATCACATTTTGAGAACAAATATACAACCTGTGAAAGATGTTTGCACTAAGAAAATAAACACGATCCCTGCTCTCCGTATGCTACAAATCTCTGTCTAACGGCCGCATTTATTTATCATAAGTGTAAATATAACTGAAAAACTCACTAAACTTCAGAATTATTTAATTTTTTTGGAAAAGTTCATTCACATGTTAAACACCACAAATTTTGCAGTATTTTGCTTACGAGTAATGTATTTTAGCTAATCTGTTTGTCCACACTCAGAGAACAAGTTTCTTCTGCCATTAGTTGCATTTACAAAAAGGAGTAGCTTTAAAATATACGTTTAAAAAGTCTTTATATTCTATTATAATACTACTCAGTTTTGTCTGTCCTAAAAATGCGCGCGTACTTCATTTCAATGAATGTAAACAAAAGACGGATGTAAATATACTTTAGTAGACATTTTGTACAGCACATATTAAAAGCTTATCAAAGTTTTTAAAAAGGTCTAACGTTAGGTCGTAGAACCACAATATAAGTATATTCATTGATAGTACTAAGTACTGTAAAGTTAGCCCTAAATAAACTACACCAAAAGTACACAAGTTACAGTGTTGATTTCTCTCTTTATCGAATATAGGCCGTACTTAATAAAGGCTTAGCTAATGTTAGGCCTAAGACAAATGGGCTTATAGATTTCGGTATCTGCGATTAGAATTATTTTGTATTATTCTAGATATCCTGCATTTAAAGTAGTGCTGTTTAAATAAAGAATAGTTGATACTAATTTTACATCAATGAATTTAATTTTTTCTGAACAAGTTTTCAGCATATTATTTTTAAGATTTAACTAACATGGATATCAGTCCTCAGCTTAACAGGAATTATTTGATGCTCTATCTTAGTAAAAATACAAATATACCACACTAGTGCAGTGTACAAAGGCACAGTTTTCGCATAAGTTTTAGTTTCAGCAAAAGGGAAAAAATTAAATTAAATGTGAACAGTTAAATATGGTTAAGATATCTTTTGTAAATAAAACATATCACCTCCTGCTTTGATTGCAATGCAAACATACAATTCCAAAAACTTATCTTTATATAATGCTGTTAGACAAGAGTCCTTGTTAGCCGTCAGACATATTTAACCTGTCAAAGCAGGCGAGAGATTCTAGATTTGCATGAATTTCAACATTAGTTGATGACGATTATCTAGATTTATCTTCTTAGCTGTCGCACACCAACTTGTAAGTACATTTTATATCAACTGTGCCAATTCTAAAGATATGGTAAGATAAGAAAGCCGTTCTTTCTCAAAAAGTAAACATTTCTGTCAGTCTAACAAGTCCTTGAGCACACTTCATCGTTAAATCAAGTGTCAAATACAACGTTGAAGTTTTTATACGTTCTCGTTTGTCTGCTTTCGTTGTGAAAAAAAAAACAATACTTTTACTTTCTGATAGCTTCTCCAGTTCTGTGATTTTTATTAGAATTTTATTTCACTAGCTTCGAAACGAAATAGCCTTTTTAGAATATTCTAATATTTTTTTTAATATACTGATTTCAACCTTTAAGTGTCATTTTTTTAATTTTGTACTTTGGTTAACAAGAACAGGTATGAAAAATAAACCTCCTTGTAGAAATTAACTGCAACTAACAAACATGGATCAACCTTTTGTAGCAATAATAACAATTCTCTCAATTTATTGCTATAAATAAAGCTACAAGTAAAGCTCTTGCTTCCCATTACGTCTACATTAACTTTATTACAAGTAATGAAATGCACCGACTCAAGAGGTTTTAGAATTTTCAATGATTTTTCTTGTGTTATAGTTTTACCAATTTTCTCAAGATTTTTAACTTATCATAAAAGAGTTTCGTTTTTTGTAATAACTATTTATCGCATCTACAGATTGGCATGAATTTAAGCAATTTATATACTTTTAAACACAGGATACTCGCTTCGGTTCAACTGGCAGCCTCCTGGTTCCAGAGTACGACATCCTATCTCCAGAAGAAAGTTTTTTTGGAGAAGAATATAAGTTTCCATCTGAAGACTTGAATTGTACTACTGATAGCTTGGAGGCACAGCTAGGTAGCAGTATTTACTGTACAGACGACACGATGCAATCTAGATTTTCAGAAGCAGCCTATGAAATCAATAACACAAACCTGCATTGCCTTACTACCCTTTCTTCTTGTGTCACTGTTACCGCATCTGTGACACTTCCCAGTTTCCAAGAAACATACTCTCCTAGGTACCGCCGAGACGTCTCTCAACAAGGAGTGTTTTCCTTCAAGTTTGGAGATCTCTCTCCACAGGATATGGAATCCCATGGGGCACAAGAAATGTTCCAAGATTCTTTAGGAAATCCAATAGAGAACGTCGCTTCTCAGTATACCACTTTTCCTGTTGTACAACCTCTTGAAACAGAAACTAACTTTTACAAAAGCGAATGCTCCTCTCAGATGCCACCCAATTCAACAAGAGTCCAACTATCTCCTTCGACTTTTATGCTACCTTCCTATTCTTGTAATCAGAGAACAAGTTCCGACTCAACTTTTCAACAGATGTTGTTTGCTCAGGATGATGCACTCCTGTCTCCGCCATACCAACATAATACTTTTCCTTCCTTGCTTGATATGCCCGCATTACTGAATGCAAGCAATTTTCCTTTGAAAACACAACCATCTTCCGATAATAAGGTGTCATTTCAAAGAAGTCTTTCATCACCACTACCAAGTATTACCAGAAGAGGACGCAAAAGGCCATCACTGACGATCTCCTGTCCCCCGCCATTAGATATAAGGTGGGTGATTTATACAGGAACAAGCAAAGCTAGTGATCGCTTAGGTAATACTAAACTTATTAGCTTTTAATAACAACAGAAAACACAAACAAACAAAACAAGAATTTCCAAAAACCCAACAAAGTATAATTAAAAACACGTTCTTCAAAGAAACATTTGGAAAACTGTGAAAGCTAATGAAAATTAGGGTGAAAATCTTAGCATTTCGAAAACGTACCTGTTTTCATCATTACTGGACACCTCATCATCCAGAAAATCAATAAAAAATAGCTTTTGTTCTTAAGGCAAAAGATAATTAAAACGAAAATACTTACCAATAACAATAAATATACCCAATAAAAGAAAGTACCTAGTGTATAAAAATTAATTATAAAGCTGATAATCTTATTGTTCCAATTATTTTTTATGGTTTTGACTATTTCATATATTATCTCCCCCCCCCCCTTGTTTCTATGCGATAAAGCTTTTTGCCAAAACTTTTCAATGTAATTTCGTCCTTTATACTAGTGGACAGGGTGTATACCTATTGGTTAACATGCCGGGCTACGGATCTGGAAGTCCAAGACTAAAACCTGCGATATGCCGCTGAACATAATCCGCACTCTTTCAGCTGTGGACGGGTCATGAAAGTGACAGTTAATTCCGCATATCAGTTAAGAACAACTGCTAACTCGTTCCCTCACTTTGGTCAAGAGGTATACATAGCTATGTCTTAACCTTGGTATTTTTGACCTCCTCGTTTAGCTCATGTGTCACGCCGTATAAGGTGCTGGTTAGGTTGAAAATACCAAATACCTTATTAAAGTAATATAGCAAAAGATACAGTCTCTGTTTATATACGTTGAAAGACAGTTTAAAATATTGTCAGACAGACCAAGGAACTTATATATATAGATTTCAGAAAGTTAGTTCACAATAATGATAACAAATACATATATGTGTTTATTTATGTATCCAAGTAGCTACTGCGAAGTTATTACACTAAAGTTCAAGCTTGTGCAAGCCTAGAGAAAATGGCGGAGCAACTTATTTAAACAACACTGATTATCTGTAATTATGGCATATCTACTAAGGCTATCTGCCGCCGATCCTAATTTTGAATTACTGACCGGAGAGGAAGGCAAGGCCCGGCATGGCCAGGTGGTTAGGGCGCTCGAATCCCCGTCACACCAAACATACTCGCCCTTTCAGCCGTGGGGGCGTTATATTGTGAAGGTCAATCCCACTATTCGTTGGTAAAAGAGTAGCCCAAGAGATGGCGGTGGGTGGTGATGACTAGCTGCCTTCCTTCTAGTCTTACACTGCTAAATTAGGGACGGCTAGCGCAGATAGCCCTCGTGTAGCTTTGTGCGAAATTCAAAACAAACAGAGGAAGGCAACTAATTAGTAGCACCATACCGCTCAACAGCCATGTTCATTGACTGTTACTCTTATAATGCACCCACAGCTTAAAGTTGGGGAAATATTTTGTGGTATTGTACGGATTCGAACCCAGCTCTGGCTCCAAAATCCAACACAGGGCCAGTCAGCGCCCAATAACACTAAAAACATCTTATAAAGGAACATATTTGCTTACTTGATCTATTAATATAAACATTCTCCATTTGAGACTCTTCTCCAGATATATATAAGTAAATAGCTTTTTTTAAAAGACAGCTTATTTTCTCGATGCATCTTAAGTATTTGTTTAACATTTAACTTTGTCTAATAATCTCTTAGTGTGTTAGTTGCTAGAACAAAATCGGTTGACAGGCAACATTTATATATGAGCGTATACCAGATAAGTTAAAATATCATGAAAATTTATATTTTCACTACCGTACGTCTACAACAAATCCTCTAATTTGTATTTTCATATAACATTCTCTAAACACTCACAACAGTAAACCATTTATTAAATTGAAGTTAGTCGTTTTCATACAAAATGAAAAATACTCTCCAGAACACCGATTAGCAAAAGACGTGCCGTGATCTAAAGGTTAATGTACCGGACTGTGTATCGAGGTTTGAGCCATAATGTCGCTGAATATGCCTGCACTATTAGCTATGAGTGTGTTATAAAGATAACAAACAATTCCGTTATTCGATTCCAAAGTCATTGTGGTCATTAAAGTCATTAAATGAAATTGTGTATTTAAAATTAGCTTCATATATATGCATATAAAAATAGTAATTTTAGAGGTAAAAAAATTTAGTGGTCAAAATTACGTGTTGATGATACGGATAATTTAAAAGATTTACTATTTTATTTAAAAACAAACATTATAATAGCTTCTATCTAAGGTGACTTGCAAAATTAGATATGCTACTTTTCTTATGAGATATATACACAGTAAGCATAGTATTAGCATATAAAGCGAATTTTATTCGACTCTCTCTGACTAGTTATGGCGGACAACTACAGACTTCTACTACCCCATCTACCCCCACAGTAACCTCTTCATCAATCCGGTCTTTTTCGAAGGACTCATTTCCCTCTTCCTCCCAGATGTGTGCTGTTTGTGGTGATAACGCCGCCTGCCAGCACTATGGTGTAAGAACCTGTGAAGGATGTAAGGGGTTTTTTAAGGTAATTCTGAGTTAAATAAATAAATGTGTTATTCTTCTGTTTTCTTACAGTTGGTTAATAAATGTAAGTCCATGTGTTTATTTCCAGTTTTAATGTGTTATTAATGTCACGTGCAATGTGAGATTTGTCTTTTTCAGATTCAGATTCTACAATAAATTCTAGCCTAGCCAGTGTTGCCAAGCCTCGCGAGAAAAATAAGTGGCACTGCCGTTGGAAAAAAGCTAAAATAAGCGGCACTGCCGTTTGTGAAAAGCTGAAATAAGTGGCACTGCCGTTTGAAACAAGCTCAAAATAAACAACAATAACTTTCTTTTATAATAACTCTTTTATAGCTTACCCTCAAAATGGCTACTTGCACGGCTTAATCGGAATATGGAATGTGTCAAGTGGACGAGCCAGAAAGTTTGCGATTGTGGGTGTGTTTTTTAATTGAACAGGAGTAGGGATAGGATGATTCTAATATTGTAATGATGTATAGGCTGTTCATTGAACAGTCAATCACCGAAGACATCTCTATAACAATTTTTACTGTGTGTTGAAGTCAGCTCCTACAAAAAAAAAAAACTCCAATAAGCGACTTGAGAATAAAACAAGCCTCAGAAACCGCAATCCACGACTCTAAAAAAAATTAAAGCGACTTTATAAAAAGACAAAGAAAAAAACAAGCTTAATTACGCTTATTATAAGCAGACTTGGCAACATTAAGCCTAGCTCTATCCCAGTTTTACTTACAGCTACAGAATTTAAAGTATTGAACTTCATTAGGTTTTCCAACTCTCTTTTATACAACGAAAGCATTGTATGAAAGATGTATTCCTGTTTAGTCTTTTTTATGACCGATGCTGTGTTAGTAAATGTCTTTTTTAATCAAGATATAAAAGGGGAAATTTGAAAAAAATGTAAATCAACAGGCTAATTTGAGAGTTCAAAAAAACTTTTGATAAGTCCGTTTGCTAGGGAAAGACAAATATTTAGGGTGTAAGGCCCTCTAAAATAAGCACGTTTGTAAACATGTTTATCAAATTATTGAGAAAGAACTAAAACTACTCGTTTGTAATAAATATGATAAAGTTATTTATTACGCTTATAGTTAGCACGAGTTGATACAATAATTGCACAGATTTTTGAAAATTATTGTTCTATTGTGGGTACAGTGTGTTATAATGTAATGAAAGATGGTAAAAGCCTCAACAGTAGTATTTCTTTAATGTACATCACACTACAACTGATAATAATTTTGATCATATCTTGGTGTTATGAGGATTTACAGAGAGAGATAGAGAAGAGTGTAAAATAGCATTTCATGTTTAGGTTTATTTTGTATTGTTATATTACAACAATTTTCATGTATAAGTGTTATACACGATGTCTCCGTGACTGACATAAATAATTTTACAGTTGAGATCTTTTGTCCCCGTAGTTAAAAGTAGTATGAATAAAGTATATTATCAATCTTATTGTAAAGTAATGTTGCACCTTTATCCGAAGGACGCGAGATGAGCCTGTGATAAAACTTTGGATTTCTGAGCTGTCGAGCCGGAATTGAAACTGTGTAACACCACAAAATACTCCACGTACTTTAAGTTTTGAGCGTGTTATAAGAGTGACAGTCAAACTGTTAGCGTGGATGGTAGGTTGTTGCTGACTGATCAGTTACTCAAAATTATGAACCAGCGCCTTAGTAGCTTTGACATAAATACATTTTCCGAATTTACTTTGGAAAACGCTAAATAACTCCTAATTTACACATTCTTTCTAGTTTTGCTTTACATCCACCCTCACACGGAGATATAAGTCCTGAAATTGTGGCTTAAGATAAATTTTAGGAATAGTTTTCAATATCATTGTGAGTGTGTTATGATTCATAAGTGAATCAAGGCACGTTTTAAAATCTTACAGAGGACTGTTCAGAAGGGAGCAAAGTATGTGTGTTTAGGAAATCGGGAATGTCCTGTGGATAAACGTCGTCGGAATCGTTGTCAGTTTTGTCGCTTTCAGAAGTGTTTAGCTGAAGGAATGGTAAAAGAAGGTAAGCTTATAATTTAACATATCTTTTATCTTCTTTTGTTTCTTTCAACATATATCGTTGAAAGTGTCTATCAACTTAATTTTATATTTAATTTAATTGTAATATGTTAAATATATATACAAATAACTAAAATTCTTGCTGTTTATAAGTATGGTACAGAATTTAAACATTTTGTAATAAGTGAACAGAGAAGACAACTACAAATATTCACGTTTTCCAAGACAAAAAGGAAAAAGGGATAGCTCACGTTTGTGGATTTCTTAGTTATCTCTGTATGCATATATATAATGGCCCCCCAGTAGCACAGCGGTGTGTCTGCTGACTTACAGCGCTACAAACCGGGTTTCGATACCCGTGCTGGGCAGAGCACAGATAGCCCTTGTATAGCTTTGTGCATAATTAAACAAACAAACAAGCATATATAATGAAGTTTACTAAACCAAAATAGCAAAAAAAAATGTAGTTTAGTTTAACGGAAAGCTGGGCTTTTAAGGTTTTTCATAATTAGTTTATTTTTAACGCAAAGTTACACAAAGCTCTCTACGCTCTGTCCATTCCGGGCTTTAGCGTCGAAAGTCCATAAATTTATCGCTGACCCACTGGGAATTTAATAATAGCTGAAAATCAACATATCACGTTATCAGGAAGAAAATAAAAAAAAAGCAGCTGAATCATAATTATTTTTCTTCACTATGGCCAAAAATAATTTTTAAACGAATGTTTTTATTTTTTGACACGGGTAAATCATCACATCAATTGAAAGCTGTTAGATATTTTTAACAATGGAATAGCCAAATATTATTATTTCGTTTAGTTTTAAAACCAAGTTGTTATTATTGATGTATAAAATGTCAAATAAATTACTGATTTTGATATTTCTCCTTTGAAGTTGTAAGAACAGATAGTTTGAAAGGTCGTCGTGGTCGCCTGCCATCCAAACTTAAGTCCCCACAAGGGTCACCACCATCGCCACCAATAAGTCTAATCACAGCTTTGGTTAGAGCCCATGTAGACACAACACCTGACATCGCCAATCTTGAGCTTTCGTCGGTAAATATTTTATGATTAAACTATTCATACATGTTATTATTGGACTCAAAGTATCTTCTGTAAAATAGTTGAGGGGTTAAACATCTGATTAATACAAACAAACTCTGATGTTGTCGATTGTACAATGCTATTATAAGTTTTAATTGTTATCAAGGGCGTATAACTATGAGACAACAGCTGAGATTATTAACTGAAACTTGAAAAAACTTATGGACGATATATATATATATATATTAGTTATACAGCAAAACTGTCAGTAATCTTTTGAGTTTTAAATTATGTTGATGTAAAAACATTTGTTGAAATACCATCATGTGTAAACACGTGGCTAAGTAGTAAATAAGTGAAGTTTAAACATTTCTAAATATTATGTAATAATGCTGTCTACAAATATTTTACAGTTTCGTGAGCCATTAAAAGTAGAAAGTCCGTCGACAGATAGCGATAAAGTTCAACAGTTTTACAATTTGCTGATATCATCACTTGATGTCATACGTGTCTTTGCAGAAAAGATACCTGGTTTCAAAGATCTAGATGAGAGTGACCAAGAATTATTATTCCAGTCAGCGAGTCTAGAATTATTTGCGTTGAGACTAGCTTACAGGTACTTATATACAAATATACATAATAATGTACTTTTATTTTCAGAAGTATAATAAATCCGATAGCTAGCGGAGCAATTTGGTATTTGGTATGGAGGGGTAATTAGTCCTACACTGTTCGTCACGTATATAATGACAATGCCTCTAAAGGACACAATCTTCTTCTTCTGCTCACAGTTTACAGGCTATGTTGCCATCTGGAAGATCCAGAAACTGTAAAACATAATGTTTTACAATGTAATACAACCTGTTTAAATATAATTTTTTTTAAATACATAGAGAATTAAAATATATTCACACTTTTTAGCAAATCTGTAAAAACAAGCAGGACTTAACCACACCTATACCTAAACTGAACTCTTCTCCAAGTATCAAAGTCAGCAAAATTCTTAAGATTTATCTATGATTCAAACTTAGCATGGTCTCAAAATATAACTAGCTCAACAACAACAAGAAAAATGGCCATTTAAGGAGTTTGACTGGTAACAATGAAGCGGCTTCACTAGAAAACATACTAACAGTTTATAAAACATATATATAAGATCAATAATAGAATATGCCTGCCCAGCGTAGATAAACGTAGCAAAAAGACAAATAGATAAACTACAAAATACAAAATTATAATACTAACAAAGTTGTAAGATCAATAAACACGACATTTTTACACAGTTATTCAATCATCCAGTTCTTGTCAGACAGACTCCTAACAAATTTGGCTTAATACTTTAGGAGAAATATGAGAAAAAATAAATTGTTAAGTAACTTAGACAACTACATCATACATGACGAATCTAGTCCTAAGTACCTCTTCCCCTTAAATACTCGTGTCTCCGATCAGAGACATATTGTTTTTCTATTGTTTCTTTCCTATTATTCCAAACACATTAATCGACCGCCATTCCTTCATTTCTCGGCGGATTGACTTGAAACTTAGTAGAGTTGTATCTTGGTTCAACACGCTCAGACACCTTTTTAGTTTTTTTTTTATTTTGTCCTTTTCAAGGATTTTTTGGGGGTAAAAAGCAAACAAACCTAAGATGCATATTTTGGGCTCCTGTGCTATCATATTTACAGCAATCAAGAAGAAAATTGGCACAAATATAAATTTTCATGCACCAAACACATTCACATAAAAAATTTGGATTTGCCATTTAGAGTCTTTTTTTTAGGGGAGTCAGAGCTCACAAAAAAACCATAATTTTAGGATTATTCGTCAATTACTCGGCCAAATTTTGACCAGTTTACATCGAATTTGGTACAAAGATACTTTTTTACAGGTTCCAAACATATACATACAGAAATGTGCGATATGCCCATTTTTGTCATTTTAGGAGGTCAAAAGATTAAATAAGTCCATAGTTTTAGGGGGTTTTGGTCAATTGGTTAGCCTTCTATCGATTAATTCACATGGAATTTGGTACAAAAATACTCTTTTCAGGTCACAAACAGAGATATAGACAATTTTGGAATTTTTGTATTTTTGCTCAATTTTTAGCTAGGAAAGTACAGTTTGGAGGTTTAGTGAACAATTAATGTGTTTGTCATCTAATTTACCCGGGATTTGGTACAAACATACCTTCTTGTAGATCCCAAGCAATGATATAGATAGTTTTTGATTTTTCTATGTTTTCAAGATTTTTTTTTGGTGTCAGAATTGACCTTGTTGGGATTGAGTGGCGGAGACATGTTGATTTTGCTCGCGAATGTTGATCTCTTTAATATTAGTAGGAATCTTAGAAGGCCACCTGGTACTAAGCAAACTAATTACTTGAATAATATTTAAATATTTGTTTAACAACAAGTAAAAGCTTGGAAGGGTCTATTCTTTCATTAGGGGTGTGTCTGTGAGCCAGACTAGTTTCAGAGAATTCCACTCCTCACCATTGGTGGTAGTGTCCAGGGTCACTGATGAGGAGTGGAA